GGTCGAGTAAAAGTAATATAGACAAGGAGCCAGAATCCCCAGACAGCAATAGATCATTCACTACCTTTACAAGTGCAGTTTCAGTACTATGGAGTGGGCGAAAACCAGATTGAAAAGGGTCCAGGAGATTATTATCAACTAGAAAAGACTGGAGTTGAGTAGCAACAGTGCTTTCCAGTAATTTAGAAATGAAAGGTAGATTGGAAATAGGACGATAATTAGATAGAATCGAGGGGTCGAGGTTGGGTTTCTTAAGCACAGGTGTGACGGCAGCAGTTTTGAGTGGCAGAGGAAATGATGCCTGAGTGAGAGATGAATTGATAAAGTGAGAGATGACAGGGGAGATAACAGAGTGGCAGAGTTTCAGGAGGGAGGTAGGAGCAGGATCAAGGTGACATGATGATGAGCTGGATTTCAATATTAGCTTAGAGACAGAATCAGGGGTCGTCAGTGAAAAGCAGGACAGAGACTGACTGGAGAGACATGATGCATGGCTGAGCTCAGTATCAGTAGGAACGCACTGGTGGACCGCATTAGTCTTATCGAGCAGATAATCCAAATAGGAACAGCAAAACTCAGTTGAAGCTAAGGCCCTCTGAGGTGGGGGGCTAGTAAGCTTATTTATTGTATTAAATAGTGATTTTGGCCTATTGCTTGATTTATTAATTGTAGTAGAGATGAATTTAGAGCGAGCTAAGGTGAGAGCAGATTTATATGATTTAAGATGATCTTGAAAGGCCAAATAATGAACAGTAAGACCGGTTCTCCTATAGAGACGTTCAAGCTGTCTACCAGTGGCCTTGAGAGTACGGAGCTCAGGAGTGAACCAGGGAGAAGAGTGAGTGGCGGGGACATATCTGGTCTTAATAGGAGCGTGCTGCTGCAGGACTTCAGAAATAGTAGAGTGATAGTTAGACAGTATCATAGATGGGGAAGAGATATTAATGACATCAGAGAGGTTGGAAGAAACAATAGAAGTGGAAAATGACATAGTGTCAATATCTTTCAAATTTCGGTAAGTAATAGTAGTCTTCGGGCAATTAGAGCGCAAAGGAAGATTAAGGCTGAAGTCAATAAGTTTGTGATCAGAAATACCAGTGTCAGAAGCAGAAATGGAAGTGATATCCCCCTTGGATGTACAAATTAAATCAAGGGTGTGACCGCGGGTATGAGTTGGAAAGCAGACATGTTGAGTTAAATTGAAACATTCAAAAACAGACAGTAACTGAGTAGTATTAGAGTAGGCAGTATCATCATGAATATTGAAGTCCCCGAGCAGGAGGATAGAAGATGACAATGAGCAAGCCAGGGTTAGCAGTTCACTGAGTTCAGAGAAAAAGATGGACAAGGCTTTTGGAGGACGGTAGAGTAGAATAATTGTGAGGCAGTCAGCTTTGAGAACCATATATTCAAATGAATTGGTGTTGTGAAAGTCCAGTTGCTTAAGCCGAATATCATGCCGATAAATGACAGCCAGACCACCCCCTCTGCCATGTAGTCTGGGACGGGCGAGATATTTGTAGCCATTGGGAGCAAGAAGATTTAACTGAAGAAAGTCAGCCGGGGCTTGCCAGGTTTCAGTAAGGAAAAAAATGTCAAGCTTATTGTCAGTTATGATTTCATTAAGATAAGTGGCTTTGTCCGATATTGACCGACAGTTCAAAAGCGCAAAGTGACGAAGTAAGGAGTTTAGTTTAACGGTATGATGCTGGTTGAGAGTGGGATAAATTAGTGATCGGTGAATGGTATGGTCAGCAGGCAACAGTCTGGATGTGATCGGTCTGTGATTAGTCCAGATGCATGGAATGGCTTCAGGCTGAGAAAAAAAAGTACTCCTGAGCGAACGCCGTGAGCGATGAACATATCGTGGGCGCCGGAGAATCCCTAGACTACGGCAGTATTCATACGTCATGGAATCAAGACGCGGGTGGCAGTTTAATGCCTTTAACTGCGATGGTAAATAGCCGATATCCATTACGGAGAATAGGTGCAAAAAAAGGCAAAAAAGAGAAAGAGAGAAAAAATAAATAACTTTTGCAAAGGACATGTTAGAGCGAGTGAGAGCCGAACACAGGCAAAAACTACGTTAGCCAGACCCAAAGACGCCACTACACCAAAACGGCAAACTAGATGGAAGTCAATACTCCAAATAGCAAGCAGTAAACGACCAGCACAACCAACTGAGAGAGCGATCACTCACCCATCAGAAGAGCCAAACGTGGTGAAGACGCCGGGGGAGAGGGCTCGCAGCAGCCCGGCGGCAATCTCACAGACAGGAAAGTTTGAAACTAACAGTCCGGTTTGTTTCAAAAGCAGCAACTGTGCAAAAATCGAATAATCCAAACAGCCAAACTGGATGACGAGGAGACATGCAGCAATACAATCCAAATATGAGACAGCAGCAAAGACGCACACAGCGTAGCAGAGCGAGGTGAAGACATCAGCAGAGCAGAGGACACACAGTGGCCCGGTGGAAACTTCCAGACAACAGGTTTGATTGGTATCAGATCAGTTCAGATCAGATCAGTTCAAAAATAGCAGTAGTGCAAAATGAGATGATCCAGACAACTGAAATGAGCAGAACAGCCAGATTGAATGGCGATGAGTCGTGCAACAGACATACAAACAGTCCAGGTACGAAGCGGCAGCACAGACGCGCACAGCGTTCTCGTCCTGAGATCGCGGCTAGCCCTTGTGAAAGGGCGAACCACCACAGCTGTCCCCTGCACTGCAGCGGGCACTCGGGCAGATCTGAGGGTTTCAGTGAGAGATACACAAGCCCGCGGACATCCCGCTGCTCCGAGCGCTCCATCCAAGCTTCGGGCGGGGGAAGCAATCCGTCTAACCAGATGGTAGCCCTTGACACTCAATGACACCGGAGACTAGACGTCCAACACGGGATCGGAGGGTGGGCTTTCATTGTCCGATGATGATCCAAACCCGCTCGCCCACTCCGGGCAGGTGAGCGCTGTCAAGACAGATCCTGAAACGGACATGTTAGCCGTGCTTTCCCGCGCTGCTATGCCCTAGCTCCACGGCCCGACCGACTAGATGGGTGCTGCATAGAGAACCAGAGGGCAAAGCCTTCGAAGCCTCTCGTCCCCTTCTTCCCGGAGGTGCACAGTAGGCTCACACAGTTTTGGAGGGCACCTTTCTCTGCCTGTGCTGCGTGTTCTTCCGCCCTCACCACTCTTGACGGCGGAGCGGCCAGAGGGTAGGAAGTGTTTCCACCAGTCAAGCGCGCCATTGCGATCAATCTTTGTCCGCGTGGCGCCCCTTTTTGGCGGGGTCCGCCTCGTCTCTCGTCAAAAGCCTGTAGGTTATCTGCCTCCCTCGGAGCTAGAGCTTACAAAGCTGCGGGCCAGGCTGCTTCCGCCTTGCATGCGATAGCCACCTACCAGCGCTACCAAGCGCAGGTGCTAGCCGAGCTGCACGAGGGTGGGTCCAACCCAGGCTTGTTACACGAGTTTCGCACCGCAACCGACTATGCTCTTCGGACCACTAAGTCCGCTGCATGTGCGGTTGGGAGGACGATGTCCACATTAGTGGTCCAGGTGCGCCACCTCTGGCTAAACCTGGCTGACATGCGAAAAGTCGACAAAGTTTGCTTTCTTGACTCCCCCATATCCCAGGCTGGCCTGTTCGGCTACTTCGTCAGTAAATTCACCCAGGAGTTCAAGGCGATAAGAGAGCAGTTAGATGCGATGGGCACTGTCATCTATCGGCGGGACCATAAGCCCGCTCTGCCCGCCGAACCATCCACATCTGCTGCTCCTCACCGAGGGCGTCCTTCTACGAGTGCTGCTCCACCTCCGCCGAAGCGGGCATGTCGAGCACCTCGGACGCAGACAGCCCCCCCTGCCCAGGGCGCCGTTAAGTGCGGTAAACGGACTGCGTAGGATCCCTGAGACAGGTCATCTAGAGAAGAGGAAATTTGCTCTTTCCCTGCTGGAGGGCGGGGCCCCAATTCCGACGGTACTTTTCAGTGCCACAAAACATCAATGAAAGAGCACTTTTCCGCTTCCTCAGATGTGACAGCATGAACCCTGCCAGTCCGAGATGCTCTGTGTGCTTTGCCTGTGGCTCACGAGCACTGGGAGGACGGTCTCCTTTCTCCCACCCCTCGAGCCCCCTCTCCGGAGTTTGGGTGCGGAGTGATAGCGAATCTCTCGCCTCCAGCTCTTCCGCGGGACCCTCGCGCTTCCCGGATCAGCACACCCACTCTGCCCTGCCCTACTGCTGTTACGTCAGCGATTGTAGCAATGAGTCCATTAGCGAGAGCTCTGCCTGCCTGGTTAGCGTGGGCCAGCCCTTCGCGGTGGCTCCTACGCACAATCAGACTCGGTTATGCGATTCAGTTCGCAAAACGGCCCCCAAAGTTCACGGGTTTGTATTTCACCAGGGTCACCCCCCTGTCCGCCCCTGTCTTGCGAGAGGAGATTGCTGTCCTCCTGGTGAAGGATGCAATCGAGCCGGTCCCTCCAGCCGAGATGGAGAGCAGGTTTTACAGCCTGTACTTCATCGTACCCAAAAAGAGCGGTGGGTCACGGCCAATCCTAGATCTGCGCGTTTTGAACCGCTGTCTGCACAAGCTGCCGTTCAGAATGCTCAAGCAGAGGCGCATCCTCCGGTGCGTTCGTCCTCAGGTTTGGTTTGCAGCAATACACCTGAAGGACGTATATTTCCATGTCCTCGCCACCATCAGTTTCTGCGGTTTGCATTCGAAGGTCGAGCGTGGCAATACAAAGTCCTCCCCTTCGGACTCTCTGTCTACGCAGGTCTTCACCAAGCTCACGGAGGGTGCCTTAGCGCCCCTTCGGCTCGTGGGCATCCGCATACTCAATTATCTCGAAGACTGGTTGATTTTAGCCCACTCTCGGGAGCAATTGATTATGGACAGAGACAAGGTGCTCCGGCACCTCCACCTGTTGGGGCTTCAGGTCAACCGAGAAAAGAGCAAACTCGCCCCCGTGCAGAGGATCTCTTTTCTCGGGTTGGAGCTGGACTCGGTCACCATGACAGCGCGCCTCTCAGGAGAGCGCGCTCAGCTGATGCTGAACTGTCTGAGAGCTCTCAGACAGCAAAATAGAGGTCCCACTAAAATTATTTCAGAGGCTCCTGGAGCATATGGCATCCGCAGCCACTGTCACGCCGCTCGGATTACTCCATATGAGACCACTTCAGCACTGGCTTCACGATCGAGTCCCCAGACGCGCATGGCACTGTTACTGCGCTGTGTCGCTGTGCCCTCAGCCCTTGGAACGACCCCTCGTTCCTACAGGCCAGAGTGCCTCTAGGACAGGCGTCCAGTCATGTTGTTGTCTCAACAGATGCTTCCAGCACGGGCTGGGGGGCTGTGTGCTCCAGGCATGCAGCTGCGGCCCTGTGGAAAGGAACCCAGTTGCATTGGCATATCAATCGCCTGGAGCTGTTGGCAGTGTTCCTCGCTCTCTACCGCTTTTTTCCGGTGCTGGAGCAGCAACACGTGGTGGTCAGGACAGACAGCACGGCGGCGGTGGCGTATAACAACCGCATGGGGGGTATTCACTCTCGCCGCATGTCTCAGCTTCTCTGGAGTCATTTGCAGCTGAAATCGCTGCGCCATTCACATTTCAGGCAAGCTCAACCGTGCAGCCGATGCGCTCTCACGGCAGCTTTTACGTCCCGGAAAATGGAGAGTCCACCTCGAAACTGTTCAGCTGATATGGGCGCAACTCAGGGAAGCCCAGATCGATCTGTTTGCTTCTCCCGAGATCGCTCATTGCCAGTTGTTTTTTTCCCTGACTGAGGGCTCTCTCGGCACGGATGCACTGGCCCACAGCTGGCCTCGGGGCATGCGCAAATATGCGTTTCCCCCAGTGAGCCTGCTCGCGCAGTTACTGTGCAAGGTCAGGGAGGACGAGGAACAGGTTTTGCTGGTTGCGTCCGTCTGGCCCAACCGGACCTGGATGTCAGGACTCTCCCTCCTTGCGACGGCCCTCCCCTGGCAGATCCCTTAGAGAGAGGACCTACTCTCTTAGGGACAGGGCACCATCTGGCACCCTCGCCCCGATCTTTGGAACTTCCACGTGTGGTCCTTAGACGCGAGGAAGAACCTACCGATCGCGGTGGTTAATACCATCACTCAAGCTAGAGCCCCCTCCACGAGGCGCGCCTATGCCCTGAAGTGGAGTCTATTCACTAAATGGTGCGTCTCTCGCAGAGAAGACCCCCAAAATTGCTAGATCAGCATAGTGTTTTCTTTCCTTCAGGAGAAGCTGGAGAGCAGGCTGTCGCCCTCCACACTCAAGGTTTACGTGGCTGCCATCTCCGCTCATCATGAGGCGGTGGCTGGCAGCACCGTGGGAAGGCATAACCTTATCATCCGGTTCCTCAGAGGCGCTAGGCGAATTAATCCACCCTGCCTTCTCTCATGGCCTCTTGGGATTTCGCCCTCGTTCTCACGAGCCTGCGTACAGATCCCTTTGAGCCACTTGACTCAGTATCTTTAGGATTTCAGTCCCTGAAGACAGCTCTGCTGGTCGCGTTGGCATCTATTAAGAGGGTTGGATGCATTTTCAGTCAGTGACTTGTGCCTGGAATTCGGGCCAGATTACTCTCACGTTATCCTGAGACCCCGCCCGGGATATGTGTCCAAGGTTCCTACCACACCATTTACAGACCAGGTAGTGAGCCTGCAAGCGCTGCCCCCGGAGGAGGCAGACCCAGCCCTTTTCTTACTTTGTCCAGTTCGCACTTTGCATATTTATCTGGACCGCACTCAGGGCTTTAGATCATCTGAGCAGCTCTTTGTCTGTTATGGCGGTCGGCAGCAGGGAAGTGCCGTATCAAAACAGAGGTTGGCCCACTGGATAGTGGATGCCATCTCCCTCGCTTATCAGAGCCAGGGCGAGCAGTGTCCCCCGAGAGTGCATGCGCACTCCACTTGGAGCATCGCATCCTCTTGGGCGTGTGCACGCGGCGCCTATCTAACAGACATCTGTAGAGCTGTGGGCTGGGCGACACCTAATACATTTGTAAGGTTTTACAATCTGCGAGTGGAGCCAGTTTCCTCAAGGGTATTAGGTAACCCTTGGTAATTGAGGAAACTCAATTAAAACTCGGAAGGGTGTGGAAACACGCTTGCTGTGCCATTCTCCCTAACACGGAGATACGTGCGCTTTTTTATCTGTCAGTAAAATTCCCCGTCAGGTGAGCACTGCAGATTCCTCCGAGGCCCCCAGCACTGACTAAACGGAGGAGTTACTTGCTGGCCCACTGGTCAGCACACGTTTTGGGTATAGGTGCACGCTATGCGTGATCCCCACTTGGCGATCCCATATGCTTATTCAGCCATGGTGCAGTCCCCCCTCATGGGCGGACCCGTGTCTTCCCTCTCTGCTAACCATCTTATTTTATGCGTACTCCCCCTTTTCAGGGCTAGTCCATATATTTTTGCCATCATATCTCCCCATTGGGTAGCAGATGGCCTCCGCAGCGTCCTCCCTATCAGGAATGCACGCTTTCCCAATGTACTGTCATATTTTCCTAGAATTATCTAAATTATCTATTATCTTGCGACTCCCAAAAAATATATCTAAATCCGTAAAACTTCTTTTGAAGTGGGATAAGGGCCAGGGATCACGTTGGAGGACCACGCCTCTCTTTGATGCAGGAGTGCTCACGCTATGCCTGGCTATCCTCTCATCGGAAGCGAAGGTAAGGTGCAGTCATTATGGCGTTTTCCAGACATTTCCCCATTCGTGGATTAATAAATAAATCCACTAATAGCATTGAAGTTCCCCATCCGAAGGGGAACGCTCTGGTTACTAAAGTAACCCTCGTTCCACGAGGAGGGGAACAGAAATGCTTTATAGCATCGCTATAATGATTGTTCCTTGGCTGTAAGTGTCAGTCTCTTCAGCTTAAAAGGATGGCGTTTCCTTGCTTTCCCAGTCCTTATATGTGAAGCTAATTGGCAATAAGGCACACGTGCGCAAGCTTACGCTGCCAATTTATTGGCATTTCATTGGCCCGTTATATACTCTTTCAGACGATTAGCTTTCTGAAACGAAATCCCCATTCGTGGATTAATAAATAAATCCACTAATAGCATTTCTGTTCCCCTCCTCTGTGAATGAGGGTTACTTTAGTAACCAGAGCGACCTCTATCCAGAAGAATCACTGTAACAGCCGAGAGGAGAGGAAAAGTCATGCCAGCAGGTCAAACGGGCCACAGTGGAAAAGAGAGAAATAGTTTAGTTTTATTCTCTCAATCGCAGTGAAATAGGAGCTTCTGCTGTAAGTGTCAATGAAAGACTGTCCAGAAGACACATGCAGTGAAATTGAGCACAGTCTTTAAGTAGTTTTTAAGTAGTTGGAGCGCTGTAAATACTCTTGCTTGCCAAAGTAAGCTATGGCGACGCACTTTCTGCTATGACATGGAGCGCGAGATGCACTCAAAGTTACGCTGCATTAATTTTTTAATTAGCCTACATTAGTAACAGTTAACTTTGTTACAGTATGATGTTTAATCATGGGAAAGGCAAAAATAAATTAAAAAATTAAGACCTTCGTAACAAATCTAAGACTTGATATATGAAATTCAAGGCTTTTAAGGTCTTAATTTAAGATTATCAAATTTAAGAGTTTTTCAATGCTTTTAAGACCCTGCGGGGCACTCTGTTTATTCTGTCAGGTGAGAAACATAAATATTCATGACCCAAAAATAAAATGTGAATAATTAATTTTATTAAAATGTTTTTTTTTTTTTTTTTTTAAATAAACTGATTCTTTTAACTATAAGTCACATTTGAGTATATTGGAAAAAGAAAAGCTTTGAACATGCAACATTTTGCAATATACTATATATAGTAATTATTTTAAATATATTTTTATAGATAAACATACATTAGTATAGATATGATTGAAATCAAATCCCTGTAAATGTTTTGTTTTTTCTTCTGCCAATCCACTGAAAGAGGCTCCACATTCTGTAACCCAATATGAAACTGTATCTGTTGAGTGGAGAATCATTTACCTCAGTGTCTCCAGTTTACAGTGTTGACTCTTCAGTCCATCAGAGAGAAGCTTCACTCCTGAATCCTGCAGGTCATTGTAACTCAGGTCCAGCTCTCTCAGCACACAGTTTGAGGATTGTAGAGCTGAAGACAAACTCTCACAGCACTGAACAGTGAGATTACACATGGCCAGTCTGAAAAAGAAGAACACAGATTACATTAACAGTGTGATTTTAGTCATTCATCTGATGTAAAAACAAACTATGACATTAATAATATGACAAAAACTTGTATCAGTTAGAATGACTGACTATTGCTATTTAATAAAACTGAATATTAAATGCCAACTAATTTGTTCTTGAATACTTTGAAATGTGAGAAAACTGCTAAATTTGAGTTCAGATAAGAGGACCACGAGACTTTATATATTTATAAACCTGCAAAATGCAAATGATCAGAGCCTGTCAAACCTGCTCCAATAAACCAATTTACAGATAAACTATAAATATAATCATTAAAAATATAAAATATAAATAAAGATTTAGAGGTAATTGATTAAAATAATCATTAAAATACACTGATTTCCTGAACCGTTTAAGAAAAAACTTTCATTTGAAGAGCAGCATTTTGCAGTTTCTCCACTAATGCTCTTAAATATATCTGGACATTTCCATCTCAATCAAAACACTTTTTAATGTTGTTGAGTGGAGAATCATTTACCTCAGTGTGTTCAGTTTACAGTGTTGACTCTTCAGTCCATCAGAGAGAAGTTTCACTCCTGAATCCTGCAGGTCATTGTTACTCAGGTCCAGCTCTCTCAGCACACAGTTTGAGGATTGTAGAGCTGAAGACAAACTCTCATAGCACTGAACAGTGAGATTACACATGGCCAGTCTGAGAAAAATAAATAATAATAATCAAAATTACAGTGTAATTTTAAGTAAGTTGTTTAATGCAATACATAATTATAATTAATCCATCCATCAATCATATGTTTAAACTCAGACCTCAGTTTCACCAGTTTACAGTTTACAGTCTTCAGTCCATCAGAGAGAAGCTTCACTCCTGAATCCTGCAGGTCATTGTTACTCAGGTCCAGCTCTCTCAGCACACAGTTTGAGGATTGTAGAGCTGAAGACAAACTCTCACAGGACTCAGCAGTGAGATTACAGCCCTGTAGCCTGTGTAGAGGACAGTAAAAGACACTGTATTATTGTGTCTGAGTGTGCATGTAATTATTGATGTCCCAAGAGGAGTGATTTCTCCTCATAGGAAAAGGAAAAGACTCTAACTCTAAATATTCAGAGTTGCTTTAATGGTCACATGGAGGAAGATCAAACATTTGTATTTTATTATAACATAAACTTTTTTAAAGAGAAGATCTCTGGACCAAAATGAGTAGAGCCAGACAGATTAATTTTGCTATTTCTGAGCAGAATTTTGTAAAGAAAAAAAAAATCTGCAGATTTAAGCAGAATGATTTAAAAGAGTAACAATCATAACAAAAAACCATATTATATAAAATAAATAAAACTTTATAACTGTTATTTAATGTTTACAATGCAAATCCATTCAGATCCACAAATTTGTTAAACAAAGCAAGTCTCTCATATAATATAAACAGACAGAAAATATGACTGTAATAACTGTATTGTAAATAAATCACATGAACATGTTTATATTAGTCAATAATATTCCTGAAATTAATATAAAACTGACTGAATATAACTTTACACACATGAACATCAGTAAATAAAGAGACTCAGTGATGGGCTGAACATCTGAACATTACAGCATATGCTCATTACCTCATCAGACTTTACAACATTTCACAATGTAAAAGTCATTTGGGGCAGCATTTATTTGATGGAAATGTTTTTATTTTACCTCAGTGTCTCCAGTTTACAGTGTTGACTCTTCAGTCCATCAGAGAGAAGCTTCACTCCTGAATCCTGCAGGTCATTGATACTCAGGTCCAGCTCTCTCAGCACACAGTTTGAGGATTGTAGAGCTGAAGACAAACTCTCACAGCACTGAACAGTGAGTATACAGCTCTGTAGCCTTTGTAGACGACAAAGAGCAACAAAATCAGCAGTAAGAAATGAGCAGTGTTGAGTGTTCATGAGTCCAGTCTACAGTGATAAAAGCAACACTGGAAATAAACTATATATATATACTGCTCAAACAATAAAGGGAACACTAAAATAACACATCCTAGATCTGAATGAATGAAATGCCAAACACACCGGCATATGGTCTCACAAGGGGTCTGAGGATGTCATCTCAGTACCTAATGGCAGTCAGGCTACCTCATGGTGTTGTACCATGGTGTTGGGCTGCAACCCCCACCTGTGGACATCGAGCCCTCATACCACCCTCATACCCTCATAAAAAGAAAATATATTATTTTTATTGATTTATTGATTGATTGATTGAAACTACATTAAACTAAACCTGTATTCCCCATTCATATGACTTTATTGAATTATTAAACAGATTATTAATAACTAATCAGAGAGCATTTTACTGAGCTCAGTGTAAAGTTTAGTGTTTAGGTCTACAGTAAATGTAATATTAGAGGCATGTCTGCGGCAAGACGGCAATACTGTGTCTAAAATTACACTATTTCTCTGATCAGAAAACAAACACAATTATCCAAGAGCAACACTGTGTTAGATTTGAGCAAATACACATCAACAAATGTCCTTTTCAGCTGGATGAGCACAGGGATTTACAGGGATTTGAGTTATTTTCCAGGATAAACTGTAAAGCAAATGAAGTAGATTATTAAATAAGTACAAATGTTGTTTGTGTGAGTAAAAAGTCAAGAAAAGTTTGTTAAATACGTTTAGAAATGCTGAAATAAATGAGCAAATAAGGAAACAGAACACTGCCGCCGCGTCCCCATGCAGTAATATGGTGTATCAGCGATCTCACAGGGGGACGATATGGCCAGCTACAGATTTTCTGTTAAAGCAGGGCAGTGATTCACTAAAATGATCTGAGTGCAGTGCAGTGTGCACTCAGTGCAGACTGATGTGTGTCTTCTGTGATCAATCAATGAATACTCACACAGCTCTTCTGCAGTTTCTCACAGCTGGTATCAGTCTCCGTCTTCCCTCATCTGATGTGTTAAATTTATTAGAGTCTAGAACATCCAGTGGCTCCTCTGACATCTCAATCATGTAGGAGATTGTTGAGCAGTGAGCAGGAGAGAGTTCCTCCTCTGAGTGTTTGTCTGATTTCACAAACTCCTGAATCTCTCTGGCCAGAGTCTGATCTTTCACCTCCAGCAGACAGCGGAACAGATTGATAGATCTTTCAGCTGAGAGACGGTTATCTGTCTTGATCTGGTCTTTAATGTACTGTGTGATTCTCCTGATGCTCTCTGAGCTCTCCTCTGTGCGTGTCAGTAGATCCTGGAAGAGTCTCTGATTGGACTCCAGTGAGACGCCCAGCAGGAACCGCAGGAACAGATCCAGATGACCATTACTACTCCTGACAGCTTTATCTACTGCTGAACTGAGCAGATCATACAGAGACTTCTTAGAGCTGGACTGGTGATATAGATCATATGAATATTGAGATTTATAACCATCCATCCACTCATCTTCATCATCTGAATATTTTTCGTCATGAATCAACTCCAGTGGTTCTGTGTTCTCATACCTGTCCTGTAGATATTGATTATATCTATTTGGATTATACTCCAGCGGTTCTCTGTTCTCTGTTAAATGGCCATAAATCATCCTCAGCGGTTCTCTGTTCTCTGTTAAATGGCAGTAAAACTTGAAGAAAGCAGCCAGAAACTCCTGAAAGCTGAGATGGATGAAGCTGTAGACTTTCCTCTGATGAATCACAGATTCCTCCTTGAAGATCTCAGTGCAGATCCCAGAATACACCGAGGCGTCAGTGACGTCTATGCCGCTCTCAATCAGGTCCTCCTCATAGAACATCACATTGCCCTTCATCAGCTGTCTGAAAGCCACTTCAGCAAGTTTGAGGATCACTCCGCTGTTGGACTGCAGGAGTTTCTCTGGATCTCTCTCTTCATACTTCTGCTTCCTCATGTTGATCTGAATCAGCAGGAAGTGGATGTACATCTCAGTCAGAGTTTGAGGGATTTCTGCACTAACATCATCTTCCAGGAGCTTCTGAAGCACAGTGGAGGAGATCCAGCAGAAGATGGGTATGTGGCACATGATCTGGAGGCTTCTTGCTTTTCTGATGTGGGAGATGATTCTTCTGGCTTGATGCTCGTCGCTGATTCTCTTCCTGAAATATTCCTCCCTCTGAGGCTCAGTGAATCCCTGAATTTCTGTCAGACGGTTGATGTATCTGGAGGGGATCTGATGGGCTGCTGCTGGTCTGGAGGTGATCCAGATGAGAGCAGAGGGAAGCTTATCTCCTTTCAGGAGGCTCCGCATCAACACAGCCACTGATGAAGATTCAGTCACAGCACAAACTTTCTCCTCATCTGAAAAGTTGAGTGTGATTCTGCTTTCATCCAGACCATCAAAGATGAACACAACTCTACACTGCTCATAAATCTTGGGCTCCAGATCTTTAAGTTCAGGATGAAAGACCAGCAGAAGTCTGTGAAGACTGTACTGATCATCTCTGATCAAGTTCAGCTCTCGAAATGGAAGCACAAACATAAAATCTACATCCTGATTGGCTTTTCCGTCGGCCCAGTCCAGAATGAACTTCTGCACAGAGACGGTTTTCCCGATTCCAGCAATGCCTTTAGTGAGAACAGTCTTGATCTGGGCTTTCTCCTTCTTGATCTTCTCCTCATGTCCTGCTCCAGCTGAGGCTTTAAAGATGTCATTGCAGTAGACTGGAGTGTGTTGTGAGGGTTTTGTTCTGGCTCTTTTCTCCATCTGTAAAACCTCATGTTCTTCATTCACTCCTTCACTCTCTCCTTCTATGATGTATAGCTGTGTGTAGATCCTGTTCAGGAGGGTTTGAGTCTCTCCATGGTTGATTCCCTCAAATAATCTCTCATACTTGTTCTTCATGCTGGTTTTGTGCTGCTCTTTGACTCTGTGAAGTTCATCATGTTCTGGTTGGAGTGAATCCTGCTGCAGGTGTCCAGTCTGATCATCTCCATCCACACTGCAGGAACAACAACACAAAGAGTCAATGAGAGCGAGTGTAAAGATCCTCTAGTGAAGCCATGTGTGTTTTCTCTAAACCAGCTGAGACACAATACACAGATTTAATCAGATTTAACTAAACACCACACTCTGATCACATCAAACACCACACACTGATCACTTTAAACAGCACACACTGATCACTTTAAACAGCACACACTGGTCACTTTAAACAGCACACACTGATCACTTTAAACACCACACACTGGTCACTTTAAACACCACACACTGATAACTTTAAACACCACACACTAATTCCTTTAAACACCAAACACCGAGCACTTTAAAGTTAGTTATAATACTATTTTCTTTCATTTAAATATTTTTATTATTATTATTTATTTATTATTTGTATGCCGGTTCGAATGTTTTAACTCAACTGACTGGGCATAATCAGTGGTTATCAGCTGATAGATATGGGCCAGTAGGGGCCTTCTGCCTCTACTAGTAGGTTGTTATCATCCATCCACATGGTTAATCAGCTATAGATCACATACGGCTTTAAGTAACGATAATTATTTACATTATTTATAAAATCCTCATTAATTGTGTTTTATTAACGTCTACCCCTCCCCCTCCCCTAAACCCAACCATCACAGTAATGTAAAAACAGATCTGAGTCTACTCTATTAGTAAAGCTGATTAACCATGTGGATGGATGATAACAGCCCACTAAGCCTACAAGTAGGTGCAGAAGATCCCTACTGAACCATAACTATCAGCTGATAACCGCTGATAATGCCCATTCAATAGTGATTACATCAGAACCGGCATACAAATAACAAAAAATATAATAATAATAATATTTAAATAAAGGAAAATAGTATTAAATTGGGTGTTGCATTGTGCTGTCTGTAGTTCTAAAGGTTGTTGTGATCATATAGTTGTTAAATGTTTTGCATCTCCATCTCTGCTGTCTGAATCTTTCACTGCTTCACCATGACTGTGCTTGCTCTGCTTCTGTCCTCTGTCAGCTCATTTTCTGACTAAATATAGTTTTTGATTCACATGATAATCTCCAGATCATACAAGTGTTTGCTCTCAGAGTTCAGTAACAGCGTTGTCATTTTGCTGCACATTATTAAAATAATAATAATCAGAGAATCTGAATACATCTTTATCTTAAATCAGTATCTCTTTTGACCATAATTATCAGGTGAAATGTGGTGTGTTTGTCTCACACAACTTGTTTATTAACAGTGTCTAAAACTCTTTCTTTTCCCACACTTTGCTGACTATTGTATAAGCCTGTAAACTCACTCTACTAACTCTAACAGTTAGAGTATTGAGACTTTAGTCTCTTATTACAGCTTCAGTACTTCACTAATGATCAGATGCGAGTATGTGGACTTTCAGTTTTGAAGTATCCTGTAAATGTAATACTTGTAAATGTTTGATCTTCTAGAAACACATGATCATATAAATGCTGCAGTGTAATCATGTGTGTGTAGAGATGATCTACCTGATAGCAAGTTGTGTGATTTTACTCCTAAATGTTATTGGTGGGTTCATAGACTCGTCACTCTTCATAGACACACAGCTGGGCTCTGCTTCTGCTCTCTTCCTCTTACGTGAGCTAAAACAGAGAAGATTAAAGTTGAGTGCTGCACACACTGCACAAACCTGATATTAATCATTCTTCATTTACAAAAACACTTAAATTAATTTCCTTTATATTTGAACAGAAACTGTCTGAATGTGGAAAATATCAGCAAACACAGATCAAGGCTCATTTCTAGTAGAGAAAACCCAACAGAAATGCAGCACTATTAGAGCAGATTAGAGCTGAAACTAATCATCAAATCACTGAATGAAGTCCACAGTGAAGGTGTGGGAGGAGCTTAATCATGCAGGCGTGTCAATCATCATCACATGACTATATAAGCAGCAGTATAAACTGCACTGTGTCAGCTGACTGTTATTCCCGCCTCCAGCAGCTCCCCTTATCCTCCTCCTCATCACTCAGTCTTCAGAAGGTCACTCATTAGGGGTTTGTCTGCAGAGCTCCAGTCCAGACTTTGAGGACAGCAAGACAAGTTCATTTACCATCATCTATCATGACTGAATGAGCAGCAGAACTCGAGAAATATCAATTCTAGAAACCAAATGTGTTGATCAGCAGCATCTATGAGGCCAACACAACATGATGATGACTGCGCTTCAGTGAAAACAGACTCAGATCAGAGGAATGGCTGATCAGTACAGCACAGAAACAGCATGGGAAAGTCTGCTGGAAAAGCCCTTTATGGCAAGAGACCGGAAACACTTTAGTTTAGCTCATAATTCATACTATTTGTAAAAGAGGTCGGTGGACTGAGCCCAGAGCTGGACACGAGCTGTGCTCTCTCCTCATGCATACTGTGACATCACAAGCAGACTCTTATAGAGCTCGTACTTGATCATGCGCTGATCACGAGCACAGGCAACCAATCAAAACGCAGCATAGGACTGCGGTACATTGAGACTGTTAACTGGTTTCATTCTGATCAGATAGAGAGAAAGGTCACATGCTTTGCTTTCCGCCAAATTCCAGTCAGTTTTGTGTGCGTCAATGATAAAAAGTAAGTGTTTATGCATCATTTACATACCTGTTACCACTGTTTAATAGTTATAATATTGTATTAAGATTACTGATTTATCCGCGAGCTCGTACAGAATCGCGGACAGCCGCGGCTAGTATTTGCGATCTTTTATGTAAATATAATTGCTTTAAATGACAATACATACATCGCCTAGTTGATCCATGCTTTTTGTTATATTTTTTGTTATAAGTTAAAAGCCTGTTAATGGTGAGAATTATTCTTTTTATATAAGTTTATCTGCCTTGCTTCATATGCTTTGCTCATGCATGTCAGTTATAAAATGTATATTGTAGTTTAGTGTTGTGTATAAACATTTCTACTCGTTACTGTTATCCTTATTTTCTAAATTTACTTATTAATGTTTATTTTCTTTCTTTTGTTTAGACCACACACACACACACACACACTCCCATGTAAAAGACTGTACCTATTCAAGTGTGATGGACATTAAAGAGCTTTAAATGGGGTTCAAGTCTTTGTGTCCTTACAGGCACTCCATGGCGACGGCCAAATTCACCTAAAAACCAGTTAACTCCAATACACTATTAACTATTATTATCTGTGTAATGTGAGCATATTAACTGCACATTAGTAGTCATACAGTATGATCTTATTGTGGATCCCTAACCCTACCCAAGACCTAAACCCACCTTCTACCTCACTATCTAGTAATAATTCGCTGATTGGTTTGGTCATACTATCAATTGTGGCCTGAAGTGTAAAGCGTAGATCTTCAAGCACTATCCTGCAGAGCTCAGATACAACATCTAACATCTGAAACCCAACAGATCCACAACACTAATTACCTGATTCATTTATTATAAAAATACTCATCAGTTGTAGATATTAAAGAGATGATCTACCTGACAGCAGGTCGTGTGTTTTCACTCTTAAAATATAGCGGTCGATCCATGGACCGGTCACTCTTCATAGACACACAGCTGGGCTCTGCTTCTGCTCTCTTCCTCTTACATGAGCTAAAAACAGAGGAGATTAAAGTTCAGAGCTGCACACACTGGAGTCAACACAGCAGATTTATTCAACATTTCATCATTAAAACATTGTTTAAACAGCACTTTATGATACTTTTCATGATGATTGTACAAAATCTTGCTGGCGTTGTGTGTTAAATATTTTGACAGATTAAAAACACAACTAACAGAGAGTAAATATAATATCCCCAGACAGCACACACATGCTGGGCCGATGTCGGCCGAAGATCAACACGTCGGCCCCTTTAATTCTAACATCTATATATGGTCAGCCAAACATACGCATGTTCATTCGTTCGTGTGTTCTATTGTTCCAGTTCATCAAACGTCCGCTCTGCATCAGTTAACGACCAGAGGCCGACGAAGCACTTCATAAGCACTTTATCTCTCATGCCCTTGAAAGAATCCGGCAACATAGTTGGTTTACACGTAAGTTTTCGCGTGCATAATAAATGAAACAAACGCGACATACATCATGTCTATTGCGTCAGTCGGTCCAGCTTTAAATTGCCTGCATTAATGCATTAAAACTGACCAAAATATCTACAACATATAATTTCAATTCATTATAATATAAAAAAAGTTTTGTTATCATTGTTATGTTTTTTAATAATGAAAACATTTTTTCCTGCTGTAAACTGGTTTGCTTTTTTATTGTGGCTTTTTCTAAAGCATTTTTCCCAGTGTAAGTTAAAATCAAAGTCTGTTCTGCATTTCGGCTGTTAAATTAAAATAAATACCTTTTTACAGAGTGACATCTTTATTTTATATACAAGCATTTATATTTAGTGCTTATTTGTTTTTGACAGTGAATCTGAGGCACAAATAAAGTGTGACTTTGCTTTGTAACAGTTTAAAACAATTTATAAGCTCATCGTAAAAATAATAGCGTATATAAAACCGCTAAATGCATTTTAAATTCAAGATTTAATTTAAAAGGTTATTATTTAAATTGTTTATGGAGTGATCATGTTTATTTATGTAAATACTGCATGACTTCGCTGTGCGTGCGAGCGCGTCTCATTCCAACACTGTTGCTATGGGAAACGACATGACACGACGACACCACCTGAAAGAAACAACAACTTCTCTCACGCTGCTGTTTTGACTGTTTTTAGGCAAGTTTAGTCCCTAAAACAAGGCAAATACTACATAAAACTGTTCCTCTCACTTTTATTATTGGTAATTGATGCATATTCTGTTAAATATTTATGTTATATAAAATTGGTTAGTAGAGATGCTCCTATCAGCATTTTTGCGGCCGATCACCGATCGCCAAAATCAGGATCTGCAGATTGCCGATCACAGAATGGCAGGGGAATGGCCATTCAATTAGGGCAGTTACGGTCACCATGACAACCGCGTCACCGTAATAGATGGCGGCGAGGGAAAAAAGCCGCCTATAATCAACTCTTATAAACGCAAACGCCCAGCTAGTCAGTCAGATGTCGCAGAGGCATTTCCAGTAATGGCCTGGTGCAAAAAAGAAAGTGATGAATAGAAGACATTGATGAGAAATGGAGAAACATATTTAGTAAGTTAAGAACGTGCCGCTCCGCAGTGTAGAGAAACCTGCTTTCCGAGAAATGTGGGATTTCGGAACAGAAGCAAGAAACAGTATCTGTGCATTTGCGCTACAAGCACACCATCTGAACGTGTATTGCTGGAAACATTAGCTGCTTTTCCACTATCGTGCCAAACCGTTCTAAAAACACTTCGGTACGGTTACGGTTGTTTCTCTACTTGAGCCTGGAACGGCGCGGCACGATTACAAACCGTTCTCGGCACGGAATTCTCGGCACGGTTAGACAACCGTGCTGAACTGTGCTGACAGATTCTGTGTGTTGACGTCGCGACTCGGTTGCTAAGCTACCACAGCTGGCTCAGCAGAATGTCATCAGACATCCTCAATAAACTACAGTGCATTTAATATAAAATAATGATCCAGGTCTAAACGATACAGTTTGAAAAGGGTTTTAAAACCATAGAGCAGTCTCTGGCAGAGAAGTGAATAACTCATCACATTCTAACGAAGATATTTTATTCATAAAGTTATTATTTTATTGACTTGGGCCCTTACGATCATGGCCTCCCAATCATCCCCTCTCCACCGAATTGGCTCTATAACTGTCTCTCCACTCCACCAATAGCTGGTGTGTGGTGAGCGCACTGGCGCTGTTGTCCTGTGGCAGCCGTCGCATCATCCAAGTGGATGCTGCACACTGGTGGGGGTGTGAAGAGACCCCCTCATGATTGTGAAGCGCTTTGGGTGTATTGCCATCACTGTTAGACCTTACCAGGTTTTTTAACAGTAGAATACTGGCAACACTGTTGCCAGTTATTTACTGTAACTGAACCATTACAGTGAGTGGCTGGCAACAGTGTTGCCAGTTATTTACTGTAACCGAACCATTACAGTGAGTAGCTGGCAACAGTGTTGCCAGTTAATTACTGTAATAGAGCAGCAGTGGTAACTAACTGGAAACTGTGTACAGTTAATTACTGTATTGTAGTGTTACAAATCACAGCATTATACTGCATACACATTAATAGTATGTCATATATAGTTATAGTGTTACTAAAATTAATCAGTATTCTTAGCTGTTATTTAAAAATAGAAGGCATAACATTTTTCAGACAAATTTATTTTTTTATTTTAACAAATAAATAACAGAAAAAGTATAACAAAATTAAGAAATCAGCAGATATAAATATTGTCAGGTCTGCACAGTAAGGCTGCGGTCACATTAACCTTTGAGCATGCAAAATTCTGTCATACTGCACTGCAAAGTGGAATTAAACAAAGCGAGTAGTGGAATTAAACAAAATAATTAGAGCTTGAAAAAGCAAGCCAGAGAGGTCATGTTTTGATCTTTGATTGGTATCAAGCAATCACATGATGTGATTTCGCATGTCAGCTTTCTCCAAGATTGAACTTTCCAATGCTGCGAATTATGAAATTTGTTGCATGAGCTATCATTCCAGGTCTGCAGTACTCACATGCGTATGAATGGAAGTCTATAGGGAGAAAAGTGCAGTGTGACCGGGACTTTAAGCTGTAACTCTAATTAAACACACCTGATCAAACTAATTAAGGCTCGTTAGAAATCTACAGGTAATGTTGAAGCAGGGTGGGAACTAAACTCTGCTGCGCTGCAGTTCTCCAGGAACTTGGAGTTTGACCCCCATGGTATATAGCAGGGGTGCTCAATCCTGTTCCTGGATATCTACCTTCCTGCAGATTTCAGTTGCTACCCATATCAAACACACCTGCCTGTAATTATCAAGTGGTGTTCAAGTCCTAATTATTTTTTTTTCTTTCCTCTCTCCCCCTCCCCTCACAATTTCCTCCCCCTTTCTCTCCCTTCGTGTAATTTATACACTTCAGAAAGTATTCAACTAGTTCCATACTCCATTCCAGTCGGTGGCGGTAATGCACCTATAAGTCTGGTTGCCAACCGCCAGTAAAACCCAAAGAAGAAGAAGAAGAAGTCCTAATTAATTGGTTTAGGTGTGTTTGATATGGATAGCAACTGAAATCTGCAGGAAGGTGGATCAGCAAATGAACAGCAAAAAACACAACATAATTATTTTAAATTATAAAGTTTTAAATAATTAAAAACTGTGTCAAATCTCAATAAAAAGTTTAAAATAATTATAAAAAATAAAAAAATAAAGTTGGCAACACCAAAAAACCAAAGGATCCAATCTTTTATTGTTATAATTATCTCATGACAACAAACTTTTATATTGTTTCTAATATAAATTCATAGGTGGAAACACAGCTCTGAAAAATGCTTAGCAACAAACTCACAACCTGGGACCGGACAGTGGAGCTTTTGTGTGTGGATGGCTATGTGTATCATGTTTTTGTGATTCCCTGTGATGATGTGCACATGTTACCTTACTGAGATGATGGAATTTAATTTTGGCTTAGTTGCCAGAAAGATACATACAACTGTTAGCATCTGTACATTATGGCAGTATGCAATATCCAATAAATACATATACTTAAACAAAAGTAATGTAAGAAGTTATATGAGGAGAGGTTAACTAGCTAACAATGTAGCTTTCAAGTACACAGTTCAAGATGTATTTATCTATTACTTATTTTAGAAACCCTTAAAAACATTTGAACACATTTTACTTACTCATTGTAGATTCTTATTTAAAGCCTAATACATATCAGACTCTACATCTGAATTGATGGACAGAGAATAGAGCACACTCAGCAGTAAACAAATCAAACACCTGGCTCCCTTAAAGGGCCAGCATTTTCTGAAAACTCTTTCTAACACCTTTGTGTTTAGAATAAGACAGACAGCCTGTGGAAGTGTGTGGTGATGCCTAAATCATTGTTTTTTTTTACAGTTATTTACTGCACAATCTACAGAGTAACAGTGCAGTTATACTAATTAAACACCCCTGATCAAACTAAATCTAAAGGTAGTGTGTTGAAGCAGGGCTGGAACTAAATTCTGCTGGGCTGCGGCCCTCCAGGAGTTTGACACCCCTGGTACATAGCATATTTTCAAAGGAATTGCCTACATTTATCACAATCATGCACATATCGTTGAATAAAAACAAAAAAAATATAAAAACTTCATCCAAAGCAAAAAAATAAATAAAAATAAATAAATAAATAATAATAATAATAATAAATAATCTGATCCTCATGTTGTTCCAAACCTGTAGTAATAATTAAAAAAAAAAAAAAAACAATAACCTGATTAATACATTTATTTAGGAAAGTCTTTATACTATACTGTTAATGCCACGTTTACCTATTTCATTTGAAGTTTTCCAAACAAATTCATTGAGTCTCTGCAAAAATGTATGTACGTGCTGTTTAAGATATTTTTTAAATAACACGTTTACTAGTTATTTAGCAAAATACTAATATTCAGCTTAAATTGCAATTTTAAAGCTTAACTATAGGCTAAACTAGGCCAATTAGATTAATTATAGAAAAGTAAACAAAGTTA